AATGGCCTTCTCTGGTTATAATATTATCTCCTCTGGAATAAACTTCTCCATCAGGTCCCGACGAAAAGCTAACATTTAGTCATTCAGTGGCGCGTAAACTTGATGGTGAAGGTTTTGGGAGTACACAGATTTCGCCAAGCTCCCCACAGCATCATTTCGCTCCGTCGATTAGCGTGTAAGTCGCACAGACTGATCACCGGCTGTACCTGCGCGGAGGCGGTTCAGATGTTTTGTGCGGGTGTGACTTTACATTACCTTTCATAAAATATTTGACCGATCGAACAGATATGCTTTTTAATGTGAACTAAAATGCGAAATGATAGAGTAATTCTTATATTCTGTTTGCTTTACACTCGGTCTTTGATATGACCCCTTGATGGAACGTACATGGATCTCATCTGACATGTGGGCCAATCTTCAAAGCCAACAGGTGCGGGGTCACAACAACAGGGCGAAGATGGCCGGAGAAGGACAATTACCCGTAAATTCAAAGCCATAAACCTGCCTCTCCCTTACATATTAGGCCAAGGGTCGTCACGTTTACAATAGCTTGACCAGCAGGTGCCCGACCGCCTGGACACTGGATAGAGGAGCCACTGCATGGCTGAATTCACTTTACACGTGAATCATCCATTATGGAGGAGACCAAGTACAGTTTGTTTAAATTCCGCCATTGTATTGGCGTCAGCTTCGTGTGTTTTGCTGTCGCAAGTTGAATTTGAAGCAGTTCCTTTGATGACTGTCACTTAAGAATATGCTCAGAAGAGACGGAGTGGCATTATCCTTCATGTGATGTCAAGACGCTGTGCAGGCGTTGTAGGACACCTTCCCACTGAATACATGTTTCCATGGACTGCCACACCGACGAGAAATATGGCAATGCCACACGACCCACTTACCCGTCCTTACCCGGGTAGATAATGGTGACGTCGGGTACCCACCTTTATCTACTGATTTATGGACAGAATGGACGATCCATTTATTCACTGAAGTGGGAATGTATTCACGAAGAGATGAAAGGGTGAAAGGCTCCTGTTATAAGTGAGTCTTGTTACGATAACCATTAAAGACAAAGTTTAAGAACCGTAGTTTGTTGGACATTTATACTTAGTTTCTCTAGTGCTTTAAATGTCAGCGGCAACGTCATTTCCACAATCGTGCGAAATCGTTGCTGAAAGAAAACGTCGTTGTCAAATAGATGTGTTGATATTCTTGAAAGCTACTTCTGATAAAAATAATCCCAATAATATGAAAACATATTTCTAAATCCAGGAATCAATGCATATTTCGGTGCCATAAATCTGTAACTTTAAGACCTTTAACCTTTTACTGGTAGTTCTTTTTCAATTTGTGACAAGTCTCTATTAAAACAAAACTAGTCTTGTTTTGGTTTTGCCTGCTTAAAAACATCACGTAGCGTTATGAAAATAAACCTTAACTGATGCATGTAAACATCTATGAACAATGACTGGACATATTATAAATACATCATAATAAATAGACGATTCTTAACCGTTAATTCAATAATGGGATCATTTACTCTTATCAGAATCAATCATAATTTCTTCCATAGTTCGATCCTATAATGTAGAGATATGTTCAGTCAAAGATTCGATTAAATTACGAAAAAATACACTATTTCCACCTTGTATGACGTGTGTAAAAACAGTAAATTACGGTTACACTATCTCAAAGGCAACAACGCTATTGTCAGTTCGTTATAATCGTAGTTCGTTATTAGCATTTTAAACTAAATCATAAGTTGACGGGACCGAAAAACAGTTTCTCCATATCCGTCAGTTCGTTATGAGCACCCCGGTTCGGTATAAACGTAGTCTACTGTATACACTCACGGTGGTATTGATTACAGATGCCTTACAGTCACCACAGAGAATCTCAATCCGTGTTCATCTCGTTTAATAGCTTGCTTGTGGCTGAAAACAGCCTCTCATTGACTGGAAACATCTGCCTCTTGGAACATTCGACCTGTTGTCTTTTCATCATGGAGTTTCGGGGGAGTTCGACGTGATGGGAACCGTTGAATATCGAATCCTCCCACACCAACAAACCCCGTAACTCCTGTTAGCGGGGGAGGACAAATGGTTTTCGGGGAAATCCAATTTGTTTTGCAACAAATGTCGACAATCATCCTGCTTGCGTATTCTCTGAAGCCAGTTGTTTTACCCTTAAGTCAGGGTTGATGGGTTCGAGTGTCGATGCAGTCAGTCAACGAGCCGTATGTGCTTGGAATGTAACCATTTTGTAAATTTGCAAAATGTTGTTGTCGGCATTGTAGATATAGAACTGATTAAATCGAAAGGCGTACTTCAGAGGGAGGGTATGTTTTAATATAAATTGATAATCTTGAAGCGGAAACGTTAACACAGAGATAAAGGAAGACCTTGGAATGTTAATATTCTAATAACGATGCTATGAATGAAATAACGTGGCACTTTAGAATTCTCTCAGTATTCAAGTAACATCAAGGTATTTTTAACTTTAATTGATAATCTTGGAATCTGAAACGTGTGTTGAAACAGAGATAAAGGACTGACTGACTGAGTTTAGTTTTACGCCGCTTTTAGCAATATTCCAACAATATCACGGCGGGGGGACACCAGAAATGGGCTTAACACAATGTGCCCATGTGGGGAATCGAACCCGGGCCTTCGGGGTGACGAGCCAACGCTTTAACCACTAGGCTACCCCACCGCCCCAGAGAGATAAAGGAAGACTTTGGAATGTTATCAATGTTGATGAAAAACAGTTTAGAATTCTATCAGTATTCGTGTAACATTAAGAATATCTTAAAAGTCCTTTGTGATATGCATTACTGATGAATGTGTTTGTAAGTATTCCATGATCTTGATGTTTTGAGAATATTCGGATTTATCTGAAAAGAAAAATATATTCATTCATGCATTCGTTGAAATGGGATAAAAACATACAATTTGCTATATTACCACAGCTGAATGACGGCTGACAACGCCTAGCACGTTATGTGGGCGGGAGCCTGTCTCTGAACTGTCACTCCCACGAGCTATACAAACAGATACCAAAGTTCTCAGATATTTCAATTCACGGAGAAAGTAACGGCTTGCCAGTCGTAGAATTAGACTTTAACAGACCAATGTTATTTCGTATTGAGCGCAAACAGCTGAACTTGCTGATGCGACGTTCGTCAATAGCTATGGAAATAAGGTTTAAACCTTGAGGCGGAAGCTGTCGATTACATCATTAGGTGAACAAACGTAACGGTTTCATTAAACTGTTACGCATTCACTGAAATCAACACTTCAGTTCATTAGAGTAATTGTTTTTTCTTCAGCGCACAGCACAGTCAGCAACTTTACAGCTATATGTCTGTAAATAATGCAGCATGGAAGACACAATGCAGTGATTAACATCATGAGCATCGATTCATGCAATTCGACTACGAACGTCACGCCGAAGACACGGGTTCCATTCCCCACATGGGTACAATGTGTGAAGCCCATTTCTGGTGGCCCCGCCGTGATATTGCTGGAATATTGCTAAAAGCGGCGTAAAACCATACTCACTCATTCACTAGTCGCCACTTGCTTGGGACCTACTTTGATCATGATGTTGATCACAGAATTGTCTGGTCCAGACTCGATTACTTACAGACCGTCGCCATATAGCTGGAATATTGCTGAAAGCGGCGTTAAACAACCAACCAACCAACCAGCCAACCAACCAACCCGTGCCTGTCGGCAAGACGGTGGATATCTTCCTATTTCCTGGTTTGTTCAATGAACCAATGAATATGCACAGATCATCGTGTACCAATGCCAAGAATATTTACGCCAATCACTCAGTTGTTTCGAATTCTATATCATCATCGTGATTTGCGGATTCCAGACAAGCTCTGAACGACACCATACTACAAACGATAGCGGTATATCCTGGAATGAGTATGTTCCAGCAAGGTGACCAAAACGATAATTATATATCGTAAACACTACCAAGGTTAACGGTAAAGGTAAAACTGTTTTATTTTTATATTTATTCGCAATGCATTCAATACTTTAAGCCGCCCCTGTACAGAATCCAAGATCAAATAGCAGGTCTTCCAAGGTTACAACACCAACATATTTGTTTCTGTTACAGGATACCAATATATTCTGAACAAGAAGACAAAGTCATCAATATCCCCCGCAATGGCAAAATAGTTATGATTATGTCAAATATTTAGGTGTGTATATAGAACAGTGGAAGGAGATTATTGAAAGGTTTTTAAAGTTCTGCTCCAGAAAGGAGCACTATCACTAATTTCAGTCAAACTTGTTGCCATGGAAATGCCAAAAATATTTTATTCAGAATTCCCAAACTACCAAAAGGCACCAGTACACCCGCAGATCTATCTATGTGCCAAGTTTGGTGAAGAAATAGTGAACAGTTTTAGAGTTCTGCTCCGGAAAAGAGCACTACCACAATTTCAGGCTAAGTCAAACTTGTTGCCATGGAAACGTCAAAAATATTTTATTCAGAATTTCAAAACTACCAAAAGGCACCAGTACACCACCAGATCTATCCATGTACCAAGTTTGGTGAAGAAATATTGAACGGTTTTAGAGTTCTGCTCCGGAAAAGAGCACTACCACTAATTTCAGTCAAAGTCGAACTTGTTGCCATGGAAACGCCAAAAATATTTAATTCAGAATTCCCAAACTACCAAAAGGCACCAGTACACCACCAGATCTATCTATGTGCCAAGTTTGGTGAAGAAATAGTGAACAGTTTTAGAGTTCTGCTCCGGAAAAGAGCACTACCACAATTTCAGGCTAAGTCAAACTTGTTGCCATGGAAACGTCAAAAATATTTTATTCAGAATTTCAAAACTACCAAAAGGCACCAGTACACCACCAGATCTATCCATGTACCAAGTTTGGTGAAGAAATATTGAACGGTTTTAGAGTTCTGCTCCGGAAAAGACAAATGTGCACGGACGGACGGACGCACGGACGGAGTCCATTTTAATACCCCCCGCAAAACGCGTTGCGGGGGATAACAAGAACATGTTAGGACTTTTAAATATTTCTAGAGATACTGGCTGAGCAGTTGCATAAAAATAACATCCCCCAACTCAATTATCCTTAACTTCGTTTGTTCGGTATATATGGATTGGGTTATGACATCGTCTACATATTAGGTATCATATATACAGGAATCAGAGGTAATTGTGTCTCTATATATCAACATGTAAAACATACCCTTGACCTTAATACTGAAGTCATCGTGCTGTAACCCCCAGCCAATCAGAAATACAGAGTGCATCTTCCCTACGCTGTAGACGTAATTTGTACAAAGAACAATTATAATTATACAAGCTTTCTCAGCATATTTTGGAGTATAAAACCCAATCAGCATGTAAAACAAACCCCTGACCCTAATGCGTTAAGTCATTGTGCTGTGAACTTCAGCAGTCTGTTAACAGAGAGCGCATCCTTCCTTGCCCTACACATGTAATTTGTATAAGGCAAAATACAATTAGTATTATAACAATACATGTCCCAGTATTCCGTCCTTGTGTGTATTTGCATTGCTTTCCCTACTTCCTCTGGGTAAATTAACCCAATGTGCCCTTTAAATGCACACGAGATGCGTTCTGATTACAACTCATATAAACGACTGAATCAGACAGGTATAATTCAATATGGTTTGGATACAAATTAAAAGTACACTATTCAACTCAGCAGATGCATCCATGGTTACAAAACGTTTTCAGATTTGATTCCCTGAGTCAAAAGTCCCTCGTCACTTAACTAAAGAAAAAAGGAAAACCCCTGTTGTTCTTTCATTTCAGTCGCTCTGGATTACTCTCACAACGAAACTACCAACACGCTAGGCCAAGGTACACGTCTACTATAAAATATTCTCATTGCTCATATTTCAGTGAGGTTGGCGCGTAAATATGTGTAGGCATTAACGTCTTGTTGGCATACAATCACCAGCGTTATCAGAAACAGGTGAAATTACAAACAAATACAATCATATATAAATCGATCTAAAACGAGTTATTGGAAGCAAGATACGATTCATTGCCACGGAGTAAAACACATCCAAACTCTTGCATAGTTCTTACGAATATAGTTGCACCAAATGCACGCGCCTACAGACCTACGCCCTGATTGAATAACGAAAGACATTAATTGGGAGTAAATATGCTAATCAATGCCCATAACCAACTTGCTCAACTTTGCGCCGTGCCTATAGACATCATTGACGTCAAACCTTCCAGTTGTTCGGCAAACTTCGGTGATATAGTTTATACGTTAACCCTTTATACACTGACGCCATCTGTTCCGACAAAATGTCGACATTGTCGAACCCCTCTTCTAGTCCGAACCTAGCGATGTCTACCAGACGTTTGGTGATAGGAGAGCGAGCCATCTCGTTCTGGAGTTGTTCCAGTGGCATCCATTGACAAGCCTTCACCTCGGCGCTGCAAGGTGACAGTTCAAAAGTGAGAGGTCGTAAACGGCAGACGACGTAGATGTCGGAGCGGCCGAACGCCCCGGGTTGCTGATGTTGCTGTCGGAATGCCAGGATCGATTGGAATTCTGAAAAAGATACAAATAAAGGTGATAATACCTAGACCTGAGTTAGTCGAGCCATTCAGCCCTTTAGCTTTGAGGTAACAACATCTGCAGTGGTAGGCCAAGAATTGGAGTGACAAGAGAATGAACGCTTTAGCCACCAATCTATCTAAATCACACTTGTTAAGTTGGAAATCAAAACGTGCTAACGTAGCTTTATGAGGGAGCGCTTGGCCCATGGAGTTACCATACTGCCAGATCACCCAGAGCAACGTACCCGTGAAGATCCGGGTTAGAATTGGTCTTCAGCAAACCATGTTTGTCGTAAAAGGCGACGAACGGGATCGGGAGGTCAGGCTCGCTGACTTGGTTGACACATGTCACCGTATCCCAGTTGCGCAGATCGATGCTCATGCTGTTGATCACTGGATTGTCTGGTCCAGACTCGATCATTTACAGACCGCGGTCATATAGCTATAATATTGCTGAGTGCGGCGTAAAAACTCACTCACTCATAGCTAGACGGTAGGCTCTCCACTGATTCCCCATATGGGTACAATTCATGAAGATCATTTATGTTGCCATTTGTCTTCTACACGCAGCGTAACACTATACACATCTACTCAGCATGTTATGGGCGGTGAACGAAACATCAAAGTTAAGTGTTCCACCGAGTGACGGATCACTCAGGCGTTACTGGGGATCTAACGTATGTCGTACCTGTCCGCGCCCCCTGAATGATGTGCTGACGTAACACTCAACACCATCCCCTCACCCCAACCGTCACCCCCGACCACCATCCTCTCACCCCAACCGTCACCCCCGACCACAAATCTTTCATCACGTCATAGTTCAAGGTGTGCACACAGCTGTTGCTGTTCGAAGAATTGGGACAATTGAAATAACGTCGCGTCATTTCATACATAACAGTTCATCATTATGTGGAACGTCACTTTGACTAATTCTACCTAGACAATACTGTATCGTTGGTTGGTTGGTTGTACACCGTCGACCTCAGCAATATTCCAGCTATAGGGCGGCGGTCTGTAAATAATCGAGTCTGAACCAGACAATCCAGTGATCAACAGCATGAGCCTCGATCTACGCAACTGGGATCCGATGACATGTGTCAACCAAGTCAGCGAGCCGGACCAACCGATCCCGTTAGTCGCCTCTTAAACAAGCTTGGGTTGCTGAAGATCACAGTGAAAAGGTCCAAAGAACCGATGGCTTCTCAACCTCTGGTTTGTTTAATTCAGAATTATACTACCCTAATCAAGTTAAGGATCACCCGAGTCTTTCATGTTACAATAGTTTCATATTACTACATATATCGTGTCCTGGCCCGAACGATGACTATAGCAATATGGAAGAATCGAATATTCTTGTGAATACTCCTTAACTTCTTTTGAGAACCATATTTCCAGGCTGCCGCACCGCCGCTGTAACATCATTGACGAGGGTAACAAGAGTTATTCGCTCTGAACTCTCAAGAACTTATAGAAAGTGTGCACTCTCCACTTATACACGTGATGACCATTGCAAATACTGTTATGAGGCCACAGCATGCCCTGCTGGATAAAGCCTCGTGGCTCGGGACCCACCGCGCTCCCTCTCGTGATTACAGACAGTTCCCTGAAGGATTAGTATAGAGTTGCAGCCAGGTAGGAATATACCACACACCTGACAGATATATACCGGCACTGGATTAAAGGTCAGCCCATCTGGGACAGGGTACGCGTGACGTCATCGACCCTCCTGGGAGGCCTGATGTCAAACTGCGTCGTACGCACATTCGTACGCTAAGCGGCATTTCCAGACTGAGTGATTACCATTGGTGTCCAGAACAGTACTGTGAGTAACGGGTGTTCTAGGTTTATCGAAATAGGAATGACGATAACAGGTATATACATTACCAGCAACACTGTAGTGATGTATAAAAGGCGATTAGGCGCCTCGCTCTGACGTTGTGGGTTCGAATCCCGGATGGGACTCAACCCAACATAAGTAATAGAATCTGTACTTTACTGAGAAAGTGTAAGCCCATATATAACATATGTTACATTATAAAAGTGTTATGTTATGAATGTAAAAACATCGTTAGATATGTTCTCAGATGTACCAAAGCAAAATTGTTTCCAGACTTCCAAAAGCTGAATAGACGAATAGAGAACCGATCCCTGTTGCCTATGTTGCACCTAAACAAAGGGTTATGGCAACCATGACGAGGAGTGATTACCATTGGTGTCCAGAACAGTACTGTGAGTAACGGGTGTTCTAGGTTTATCGAAATGGGAATGACGATAACAGGTATATACATTACCAACAACACTGTAGTGATGTAAAAAAGGTGATTATGCACCTCACGCTGACGGTGTGTGTTCGAATTCCGGATGGGACTCAACCCAACATAAGTACTAGAATCTGTACTTAATGAGAAAGTGTAATCCCAGATATAACATATGTTACATTATAAAAGTGTTGTATTATGAATGTAAAAACATCGTTAGATATGTTCTCAGATGTACCAAAGCAAAATTGTTTCCAGACTTCCAAAAGCTGACGAATCGAGAAACGACCCCTGTTGCCTGTGTTGCACCTAAACAAAGGGTTATGGCAACCATGACGAGGAATCCTTCCAATTTCTACATTTTAGGTTAACGGGTTATCTTTTCCATTCCACTGATTTCAAAATCAGTCGTGTCCATCATCGGAATACAACATGTGTCCGCCGCTGTAAAGTATCAGAGGTGCCTCTGACATTAAGTACGTATCAACTCTTTATAATAGGACGTATGCGCGGTGAGGTGGCCTGGAGGTAAAGGTGTCATGTTGACAAACGTGCACTGAAGACCTGGGTTACTTTCCCAACATCGGCTCACTCGGTATCCATTCACCATGTCAGGGTTGTGTACACAAACGTTATGACGAGTAGTTCGGTGAGTGAGTAAGTATGGTTTGACGCCGCTTTTAGCAATATTCCAACAATAGTGAGTGAGTGAGTGAGTTTGGTTTTACGCCGCTTTTAGCAATATGCTACCTATATCACGGCAGGGGGAGACCAGATATGGGCTTCACACATTGTATCCGTGTGGGAAATCGACAAGCGAACGCTTTAACCACTAAGCTACCCCACTGCCCCGATTAGTTAGGGGGGTTCCTCCATTTTAGCAATACTTCACCGATAGAGGACACAACAAGTGGATGCACACACATTGTACACATACTGTGGTTCGTAAGAGGCCAGGGGAGGTGGAGTAGCCTAGTGGTTAAAGCGTTGGCTCGTCACGCCAAAGACCCGGGTTCGAATCCCCACATGGGTACAATGTGTGAAGCCCATTTCTGGTATCCCCCTCCGTGATGTTGCTGAAATATTGCTAAAAGCGGCGTAAAACCAAACTCACTCAGTCAGTCAGTCGTAAGAGGCCCGTTTGTCTGACGAGCGAATGCTTTAACCAAAAGGCTACGATATTTCATGATCTTTAATTAGTAATGATACCAATGTAATCAGATACTTACTACTCCCGATGAAGGTGAGGTGGTGAGGTGAGGTGAAAGTGGGTTTAACGTCGCGTTGAAGATTACTGAACTTTTATATAGCGAGGTGTGAACGTCTGTGTGTGTGCCCTTTGCAATGGTCCGGCCTTATGCCGGTTTGACAGAGCTAGCTAGCCCACTGAGACATCATGCGCATATTAACATGAATAGCCACTCCGACACAGTGCACGGCTTCCGATCCGACCAGATCTTGTTCTACCCCCTAATGCCGACCGCAACACAGGGTAAGAAGCAAATAGCGAGCCACATCCTCTGGGCAATACATATACAGTATAGGTTTGATCAAGATGAGTGAGTGAGTTTTACGTCGCTTTTAGCAATATTCCAGCAATATCACGGCGGGCGACACCAGAAATGACTTTATCACATTGTACCCATGCGGGGATCTGAACCCAGGCCTTAGGCGTGACTAGCGAACGTTTTAACCACTAGGCTACGCCACCGCCTCTGATCAAGATGAAGTCATGGAGTGCGTCTGATATATCGAAACAGCAATCTAATCAGTGCAAAAGCGAAAAGCGCAAAGCGGGGGAAAGCCCGAAGTACCACTTTGATAGCATCGAATGAACTTGGGTATGAGCAGCCAAGGGATCGAACCACCGACCTACTGTAATCAGGGCATTACTTGATGTAAAGACGGTGACATATCCCAGCAAGAACATAAGAAACCGCAAAATCCACCTCGGCCCCAGATCAGAAAAAGCAGCGATTGACATTATGAACATCAATTTATGCAGCTGGGATATCATATGATGGCATGTCTTAACCAAGTCAGCGAGCCTGACCACCCGATCCTGTTAGTCGCCTCTTACGACCAAATGAAGACCAATTCTTACCCGGCTGTTCACTTGGCTTTTGTTATGTATTTACATGTTCCCAATTATTTTTCGGAACGGACCATAGAAATAAGACAAGAAACATTAATAATACATGGGTTGCTACTTATTACAGTAATGTTGCACTTCGCTTTGTCATTGTGTCAGTAGGGCGGTGGGGTAGCCTAATGGTTAAAGCGTTGGCTCGTCACGCCGAAGACCCGGGTTCGAATCCCCACATGGGTACATAGAGAATCTCACCCGAGTGTCTTTTGATATCAAATATATCACCACGAGTTGATAAAGTAACAAATATCCGAGGCTTGCCGAGGATATTTTTACTTTTATCAACGAGTGTTGATATATTTGATATCAGAAGACACGAGGGTGAGATTCTATTTATCATCAAAAATCACTCTTCATTAGTTTTCATAGAAAATGTACATCTCTTGAACACAGTACTGCCATTAGATTAGCAGTGCAGCGATGTCATAGCATTGTGACGTCATCATGTTCATGACGTCATAGTATTGTCAGGCATTGTGCAAAATCTACTGTCAAAACGATATCTCCTAGGAGATATCGTCTGATCTCACACAAGCGATATCTCCTGTGGAACACAGTTTTGGATTTCGCTCTTCAACCAGTGTC